GGTTTTGAACCACCAGCCTTCTGGTTAGCAGTCAAGTGAGAATATGAAATGTGATAAAATCATATTGTATTATTAGACTTATAATAATGTGATCTCTTAATTTTTGTAAATACAATAAACTACTACTAAAAAAAAAAAGAACATATATTTATAAGCCCACATTCTTTAGCTATTTAATTCAATAGATATCAAATTCCTGTTAAAAAAAACAAAAAAGGTACTGCTGTGGAGTTGATTCCAACTCATAGTGACCATATAGGACAGAGTAGAACTGCCCCAGAGGGTTTCCAAGGTTATAAATCTTTACAAAAGAAGTCTACCACATCTTCCTTCTGCAGAGTGGCTGGTGGGTTGGAACCACCTACCTTTCTATTAGCAGCCAAGCAGTTTAATCAATGGACCACCAGAGTTCCTTTCAGATTTCTATAAAAGCCTCTAAAATCTTCAAATTTCCATATATTTAATTCATTGATTTCTGTTATGAGTCATAAGCTGTTTACAAGAAGTTCACAGTAAAATGGCACCAGTTCACAGAAAACACTCTGAGAAACTAGTTTGGATAAATTACCTATCTGGTGTCTATGAGTGATACTCAAACTTCATAAACCTGAACTGTCTCTAGGTAAATCTTGTTCTTTTAAAGCATTATTGAGTGATGCTCCAGAACCACAAGTAACTAACTACATTTCTCAAGGAGAAACTTTTAACTATTTTAAACACAGTTATGGCAATAAACAATCTTCTGGGTTTCTGGTTGTGTTTTTTTTTTTTTTTTTTTTTTTCCTTCTTTATAATTTATTTTTGTTGTGGTGGTTGTGAATATACACAGCAAAATAAACCAATTCAATAATTTCTACATGTGCAATTCAGTAACACTGATTATATTCTTTGAGTTGTACACCAACCTCTCCCTTCTTTTCTGAGTTGTTTGTCCCCCATTAACATAAACTTACTGTCCCCTAAGTTTGTTATCCACTCTCCAGTTGTTGTTGCCAGTTTGATCCCAAAAAGATCTTAACAGAGTATAATGCTCAAGACAGACATTCTTTTTTTGTGTATGTGTGTCATTTGTGTGAAAGCTTACAGAGTAAACTGGTTTTCCATTCAACAGTTCACACACATTTTGTTTTGTGATACTGATTGCAATCCCCACAGTGTAACAGCATTCTTCCCAACTCCTCCCTATGGTTACCATTTCCTCAAGTCAGATATTCTTGACTAGTTAAGTTAAACTACTGTTCAGCTTTAAGAAGACTTCAGGGATATTTTTGGTTTAAAGACAGTTTCAGGGTTTCGTAGAAACTTCTTGATTCCAAAGTCCAGATCCCATGAAATTTGAAATTCTGTTTTGCATTTTCCCCCTTCTTCGATAGAATCTGATCAAAACATTCAATTATGGTAGATGGGCACTACCCAGTTCTTCTCATCTCGAGACAAAGGAGGCAATTGGCCACACATTTCATTTCCTTCTCCTCTTCCTGATTCTCTTTCTTCCTCTGTAGCTCCAGGCTAATTGAGACCAACTGTTGCACTGGACACTTGAATGGCCACTTTCAAACTTTTAAGAACCCTGGAATTAAGTAACAAACTAAGGGATGGAACAGAAGCACCAAGCACATTATTAGGCCAATTAACTGGAATGTCCAAGAAACCAAGACCCTAAACCTCCAAAACAAAGAACCAAATCCCATGAAGTGTTTGGCTGTACATAAGCAGCCTTAGTACCCTTTTTTGGTCATTTTGTCAATTTATCTTATCATACAGCTTTTGCCAATTCAACATTTCACAAGTATACAACTAGTTGACAGCAATTACAATAACTAGCTGTGCAAACTTACCATTAATGTGATTTTTCCATCACTATAAACTGAATCTCAGTACTCCATAAGTGATAGCTCCCCCTTCTCCCTCCCTCCTGCCCCTAAAAAAACAAATTCAGTGTGGTCAAGTTCCAACTCATAGCGACCCCCTCCTTGGGTTTCCAAGGTGGTATCTCTACGGAAGTAGATTGCCCAGTCCTCCTTCCAAGGAGTAGCTGGTGGGTTTGAACGACCAGCTTTGTGGTTAGTAGTCAAATGCCTTAGGCACTACACCACCAGAGCTCCTGCTCCTAGTAACCCGTAACAAACTTTTGTCTCCATATATTTGCCTCTTTTTGTCTTTTTATTTAGCTGAGGTCATACAGTATTTGTCCTTTAATGATTGACTTATTTCATTCAGCATAATGTCTTCCAGCTCCATCCATATTGCACCATGCATCAAGATTTCATTTCCCTTACTGGCTGGGTAGTATTCCATTGTATGTATGTACCACATTTTTTTTTTTTAAGTCATTCATTCATTGATGGGCTTTAGGCTGTTACAGTGAACACTGGTGTACATGTGTCTGTATGAGTCTCTGCTTTGAAGTCCTTTGGGTATATATGCCTACAAGTGGAATTTGCTGGTTCATATGGTAGTTCTATTTTTAGTTTTTTGAAGAACCACCACACTGTTTTCCACAAAAGCTGTACCATTTTTTTTTTATTCACACCAGCAACTGATAAAGGGTTCCAATTTCCCTACATTCTCTCCAACAGTCATTATTTTCTATTTTTGTGTTTGTCTTAGCCATTCTAGTAGGAATGAAATGGTATCTCGTTGTGGTTTTGATTTGCATCTCTCTGATGGCCAATGATGTTGAGTATCTTTTCATGTGCTTAGTGGCCATTTAAATGTGCTCTGGTGAAATGTCTATTCACTTCCTTTGTCCATTTTATGATCAGGTTATTTTGTCTCTGTTGTTACTGAAGTTTTATATATATTTCCCAGATGGCAGTTTGTCTTTTCATTTTTTTTTGACAGCACTCTGATGTACAAAAGTTTTTAATTTTTATGAGGTCTTATTTATTTTGTCTTTCCTATTTGAGCTTTTGTTATTAGATAATCCACTGTTATAACCTAGACCCTAAAGCCTTGTCCCTGCATTTTCTTCTAAGAATTTTATGGTTTTAGTTCGCACAGTTAGCTCTACAACCCATTTTGAATTTTTTGTTGGGAAATCTAATTTTCATTTTTCTGCAGGTGGAAATCTAATTTTTCCAATACCTTTTATTAAAGGGAATTTTCTTTCCCCACAAATGGATTTAGTATCCTTGTCAAAAATCAGATGACCATAGATGGATGTGTGGATTTATTTCTGGACTTTCAATTCTATTCCATTGGTCTATGTGTCTGTTATACCACCAGCAGGCTGTTTTGATTACTGTAGCTGTATAGTATGTTTTTAAAATCAGGAAGTGTAACTCCTCGCACTTTGTTCTTCTCTTTGCTCAACACTGCTTTAGCTATTTGGGACCTTCTGTCATTCTGTATAAAGTTAAGACTGGTAACGATCTGTTTTTGATAGCTGTATTTGAATGAATGCAAAACTTCTTTTTTCCACATCAACAGATCCTTAAATGGATTGTGTAAAACCGTGAGCTTATTCATATTTTAGGATCTTGTGTTACAAGCTGCAAAATGGCACTATTATAAGGATTACCATTATAAGTAAGAGTCCTGTAGAACAAAATCATACTGTTTATCAAGAGATGGCCAATGTGCCTGTCACTCAGGAACCACAAATACATGCATTTGTATGGTGGCAGTAATATCACAGGTTAAGGAGAATGAAGTGCTCCCCAGTTTAGAAAATAACTTTTACCTCCTCTTCTTCTCTTCCTACATAAAATAACAGAATACTTAAGATAATCCATGAAAAAAGAGTGATCCTGGGTTCAAAGTAATTCTTACACTTTGCTAAATCAACTAATCAACAGTCTATAGAGCAATATTATTACTAAACTCTGTAACAAATCTCTATTTCATGAAGTAAATCTATGGGAGGTTCTACGAAGTCATTTATAAAAAGATTCTGCCTTTGCTAGGGAGAACTACCAAATGCTCATCCACAATGAGGCTGACTTCATAACCTTTACATTTTAAAGGCAAGACCATACTTTCAAAATCAGGCATTAGAGGTATATGGAACAATCCTAAACGATCAACTAATTCTGTGAATGGAAGAAAAATAAAATATTTAAATTATCAATATAGTATGCAACAAGAAAAACTTCACACATTTATTTTGATAAACATAGAGAGAAACTTACAGAACTCAAATTTGATTTAAAAAAAATTTTTTTTCCAAAATACCACCAACACAATCATACAGTAAGTGTTAGAGGAGGATGTCATCATTTATGTAAAGACATTACTTATCTGTGATATTTATGACACAGTAGTTTGACTGGTTTTTCTGGTAGTGGTGCTGTATTAATCTAAGGCACCTGAATGCTAACCAGAAGGCTGATGGTTCAAACCCACCAGCCACTCCTCGGAAGGAAGGTTGGGCAATCTGCTTCCGTAGTGATACCGCCTCGGAAACCCAGGGAGGGGTCGCTATGAGTTGGGTATGACTCGACGGCACATAACAACAACAACAACATAGCAACAACAACAACCCACTATCTCTGCTGCTTGTGTCCCTAGGAAAAAGGGCATAGTTTTTATCCCAGAAGTTAAATTAAGCCATCATTGGGAAAACTTTTATTTCTAAATAAATTCAAATACCTCATTTGTAATTTTGAGTATCGTAAATCCAGGATTCTCAGCTGATTACAAACCTTAATTTTTATCTATGGCAGTGGTTCCTGACCAGGGGCAATTTTGCTCCCCAAGGAGTGATGTTTGGCAATGTTTGGAGGTATTTTTGGTTTTGAAAATTGGTGTCTACGTGTATGTTACTGGCAGTCTAGGGGACAGAGGCCATGAATGCTGCTACACATCCTACTATGTACATAATATAGTTTCCCATAACAAAATGTCAATAGTGTTACTGTTGAGACACCAAGGTCTGTAATATTATTTGTACTCCTCCTAAAATGACTATTTAGTACATCTTCTTTATTCAGAAACAAATGCCAAGATATTTCCATTAAAGGCCTCATTAAATGAGTCTACTACATTCTTATATTTACCTGAATGGAATATAAGATGTATCTCCAAACATTAATATTCTATATGCTTCTTCTGGAGTTCTCCCCAAATATAAAACCTACATATGAAAAGAGGAGAAAAATAAAATTTTATATTTAAATAAAATATAGTGCAGTGTTATGAAGTAAGTTTTATACAATTTAATTGGTTAATCTTGGCTATCTAGAAAATATACTCCTGTTTTAGAAATATACTGGTCACAATCAAAAGCAACATATACTTTAATTCATTAAGATATTCTGAATAATAATATGGCCATTTATTTTGAATCAAAAATATTTATGACAAATAATCTACTTCTTATGAGAAAACATTAGGTTTAAAAAATTCAGTTCCTAGCCAAAGTTTATGAAGTGGGACAGTGATTTTACTTTTACAAAACCTATCAAGATTTCGGATGAATTTCCAGATGCAAACACCACACTGTGGACCACAGCTCACCTTAAAAAAAGGTTTTATTACAACGTAAGTCTTAATTTATATCATTTTTCACACCAGTTGTTATTCTGATCACATACCTTAATGACATACTTAATGAGTAAAAATTTGTAATTTGATTTACATATCCACTATAAATAAATTGCAACTTTGAAAAGTTTTAAAAGTAGACTCTGCAACTAATTGGGATAAGCCCTGGATTAGGCGGTACCAACTTCTTTAACCAGTAGCAATCAGGAAGGAGAAACAGAAGAAATGTAAAGTCATACTCATCCCCAAGTTCAAAAGGAAAATAATTCACCCAATGCTAATGCACTTGAAGGTGGAATGTGATGTTATCAGGATTATTAATTACTACAATGTACAAAAAAGTAAGTCTTCAGAAATACCACCACAACTTAAATAAAGCCTTTGTTACAAAATATGTGAATGAAGGAAGAAAATCAAAGGCATCTGGAAACAATTAGTCCAAGAATAAGATGGACCATTAGGATCTCAGCCCTCATAACTCCAAGACCAGAAGAACTAGATGATGCCTGGGTACCAATGCCAAGTGCTCAGAAAGGGATCAAAACTGGAGATCCTGGATAGAGTAGGAGAAAAAATGTGGAGCAAAATTCAAAAACACAAAAATGACCAGAATTACTGACTGGATAAATACTGGTAGAACCCCTGAGACTATGGTTCTGGGTTACCCTTCAGGCCTAGAAATGGACTTACTCCCATGGATTGGCTCTCAACCCAACAGTAGAGGCCTACATGTGGAACACCTACCCCAGGGCAATGCACACACCTACTCTAGAGAGATGCAGCCCTTAGAGCAATCAGCCATGAAACAAGAGAGGAGAAGCATTCACATACAGCGAAAGCTGGAGAGACAGGAATGCATAGTTATGAAGGGCATAGGGAGGGGGTAGTCACAGGGATGGGAGGGGAGGAGAATTTATGGTTGGGGATGGTAATGGGGCATGAAATCAAATGTGCATGAACTGTTGAATATAGAACAAATTTGCTTTGTAAATTTGTACCCAAAGCACAATTATATATCTATATCTATATGAATGAAAAAACAGTTAAACATTAACTTAAGTGATATTTTTAATCATTGTTTAAAGAACAATTTCTGGCTAAAAACAGGGACAAAAAATCTGAAGAAAAGGCATCCAAGATCTGTGGTTGTTGCTGTTGTTATTGTTATATGCTGTCGAGTTGGACCCGATTCATAGCGACCCCTCCTTGAGTTTCCGAGGCAGTATCACCACGGAAGTAGATTGTCCCATCGTCCTTCTGAGGAATGGCTGGTGGATTTGAACTGCCAGCCTTCTGATTAGCAGATTCAAGACCTAGTCATCCACAAACATTAACTGAGGAAATTGGGGATATAGTGAGGAGCAAGAGAGATAGGGAGAAGTCAGGCAGAGACAGTCACAAAAAGTAGCAAAACTGTGAGAAGTTCTATGAAGGAAACCAAATTGTACCTTAAACAGGAACTGAGTTAACTCTGACTTTAAAGCAAAGAATCCCTTTTAATAACTGAGTTATGAGGAGTAAAGGAAGTTAACCAAAAAAAGAAAACTGAACCAAGCACGGTGTTGCCTATTCTCAGCACTCTTATTTCCAACATCTCTAAGCTCTAAAATACAGTAGTAGTAGTACTAACTATTACAATAGTAGCACTAACTATTGTTAGAGCAGAAATCTGAATTAGAAAGAATATCTCTAAGTTATAGCAGCCATTCATACCATGTTTCTTCAGAGGCCTTAGAAGAAAAAGTGAACTATCAAAATATGAAAATAAACTTAGCCAGGTTTGTGGGGGAAGGGGTGAAGCATAACGACCATTCTTCCACAAATCTTGCACAGCTAAACGTTTTCCAGACATATCCCAGGAAGGTAAAAAGAATAAAGCCTACTTACATTACTTTCACAAAATGAATAGCATGTCCAGTGTGGATGTCTGAACAAAATAAACATCTGGTGCATGAAAAGCTAACCCTGCATTAAATTCTACCCGGGCTACCTCTGTAGACCATCAAATAATCACAATTCCATTAGCTATCAAAGAATGTAACACACTAGGATTAAACTTTCCCTTTGAGTGGATAGACTGAAAAGGGAGATAACTGTAGCAAAGACCTGGGGACCTGTGGTGAAATGAGTTCCTTTATGGCCTTTTCCCTTGATTCATTAGAGAAAGAGCTTGAGATTTTCCCCATAAACCTTGAGGAGTTACCTTTGTCCTACGTTTCTACCCCAGAGGGTTTGTTACCTTCATCCAGGTTGACTGACATTTCCTGTGTAAACTATAAACAACTTGGTTTGATACTTTTTTCTGGAACTTGACTGCTAACCAGAAGGCTGGCGGTTCAAACCCACCAGCCACTCCTCGGAAGGAAGGTTGGGCAATCCTACTTCCGTAGTGATACTGCCTCGGAAACCCAAGGAGGGGTTGCTATGAGTCGGGGCCGACTCGATGGCAAACAACAACAACAACTGCCTCAGAAACCCAAGGAGGGGTCACTACGAGTCGGGTGGGTCCGACTCAGTGGCACATAACAACAAGGCTGCAGCCTGCCCTGTGATTGGTATGTACCTTGCAGGAACTGGTCAATAGACTATGAAAATGAAGTGCTTATAGCCTATCATGCAAATGAAATGTCTGTTGCATATAGAGAGGAGACTGATCACTTCAGTTCTGGCCCTGGTGGGAAGGCCATGCCTTGAAATTGATGAGAAGTTTTTGTATAAAAGTAGCCAACTCCACTGAGATTTTTCAGATAGGAAGAGAAGCAGAAGGAAGCAATGAGAGAGACAAGGCAAGCAATGTCCTAAAAGAACTGGGCTCAAGCACTGTAACACTTCAGACAGTGAGAAACCCAGAAAGGACCCAGCAGCAGACCTGGAAGCAACAGTCTGGGAAGGGTCCCAGCAGCAGAGACAGTGGCAAGAGACTGCAGAACAAGAGGAGACTGACCCTGAGGGGTCAAGAGGAAACCTGAAAGAGACGAAGAAGACCACGTAGCTTAGAGGAGCTGAGAGCTGTCCTGTAGTGAAGAAGGAAGATGCCTGTATGCTTTCTGATCCTGATACCAAGTTGTAGTCTACTGATCCTGACCCTGATGTACCCCATTACTTTCTTAATAAACCACTTAACTGTAAGTAGGTCTGTGAGTTCTGTGTGGCTACTGCAGTGGATTACCGAACCCAGCAGAGAAGCAGAGAGTGCTGTGGGGAGGATGGCTTGTTGGAAAACTGGTTAAAAAAAAGAAAAAAAAAAAAATTAAGAGAGGAGGTTATGTCTGACCCCCACTTCATAGGGATCAGACTTGGGCTGATCTTGATTATACCCCCTGAAGTTAGCCATGTTCTGACACTACAGTACCACCACCTGGGGAACTTGTTATGAATTTAAAATCCTAGATCACACCCTGGAGATTTTGATTCAGTTGGTCTGAGCTGAGGCTTGGTGACTCATGTCTTTAATAAGCACTCAGTTGCCTGAGAAGTACTGCTAAGGCAGAAAAAACACTTTCTTAGGCTCAGAAGAGCTGGTTTGCTCCAAGCTCAGCTGTATATTTCACTAGCTATGAGACTTAAACTTCTTTCTGAGAGTCAGGTTTTTGCTATCTGAAAAGTGGGAATACATATATACAGAATGTGCTCCATAAGAAAGAGGGTTTGGGGAATCCTGTTGTTGTTATGTGCCATCAAATCAGACCCAACTCATAGCGACCCCTCCTTGGGTTTCCAAGGAGGTATCACTATGGAAGTAGATTGCCCAACCTTCCTTCCAAGGAGTGGCTGGTGGGTTTGAACCACCAGCCTTCTGGTTAGCAGTCAAGTGCCTTA